GCGGAAGCCGAGCAGCAAGAAGCGCTGCAGCAGCAGCTTACAGAAGAGGAGGAATTGCAGCGTCAGCAGCAACAGCAGCAGCTGGAGCAACAGCAACAGGAGCAGCAACAGCAGCAACAGCAACAGCAACAACAGCAGCAGCAGCAACAGCAGCAGCAGCAGCAGCCTCGGCAGCCAACTGGTGGATCGTCTCGTTCGAGGAAGTCAGAAAAACGAACCGATGGCGGCGGCCGCGTGCGGAGCAGGCAGCAGCAGCAGCAGCAGGGCGGAGGCCAGCAGTACCTAGCAGCAGCAGAGAGCAGTGCAGCAGCAGCAGCTGCAGCAGCAGCAGCTGCTGCTGCACTGGAGGGCCAACGTTTACGCCTGGAGAACTACCGGCAGCAGCTGGTGCTGCTGCAGCAGCAGCGGGAAAACGTAGAGAGGCGGATGCTGCTGACACAGCGGCAGCTGCTGACACTGCAGCAGCAGATACACCTTAGCCCAGCAGCACTTGAGACACAAACAGCAGCACTGCAGCAGCAGATGCGAGACGAGCAGCAGCAGCAGCAAGCGATTGAACAGGAGTTTGCTGTGCTGCAGTGCCGCATAAAAGAGCTGTCTGCTGCTCTTGCTGCTGCTAATTCTGCTGCTGGCAGCAGCAGCGGAGCTGCAACAAAACGGCAGACACATAAAGCAGTAATGCAGCAGCAGCCAGTTTCACCGGAAGCCAGCAGCAGCAGCAGCAGCAAGAGCAGCAGCAGCAGCAGCAGCAGACACAACAAGAACAACAACATGCGTGTGGGAAGTGCTGCAGCGCAGCAGCAGCTGCATGCAGCATCCCCTCCGCTGCAACAAATGATGCAGCAACCAGCTGCTGCAACAGAACCCGAAGCAGCGGCAGCAGCAGCAGCAGCAGCAGCCGCTGCTGCTGTTGTTGCTGGTGACACAGCCCAACCGCACCCTATTCAGTTCAGTGCCACAGCAGCAAGCATGCCATTGCCGCCGCAGCAGCATCTGCTGCTGCAGCCGCCGCAGCAGCAGGATGTATCTATTGGGGGACCGGGCTGCAATGGGAAATGGCCACAGGAGCAGTTGAATGTAGAGCAGCAGCAGCAGCAGCTCCTGCTGCAGCAGCAACAGCAGCTGCTGCAACAAGCTGCAGCAGCTCATCTGGACGAACTGAAGCAGCACGAGGACCAGCAGCTGCAGCAGCAACTGCAGCAGCAACTGCAGCAGCAGCTGCAGCAGCAGCAGCATGAGCTGCAGCATCAGCAGCAGCAGGGGCTTGTGGTTAGTGAGGATAGATGACAAGCCTAGGGGAAAATATCTTTTAAGGTTTAAAGCAGCAGCAGCAGCAGCAGCAGCTCCATCAGCAGCAGCTGGGACGACCGCATTGTCGTCGCAGCTGCAGCAGTTGCTGCATCCGTTGCTGCAGCTGCAGCAATTGCTGCTGCAGCAGCAGCAACTGCAGCAATTGCTGCAGCACCAGCAGCAAAGGTAATAGCTGAAGTCCCGTTAAATATGCAATTCACACATTTTATTCTTAGTAGCAACCGCATAGTTGCTGCAGCACAGCAGCAGCAGCAGCAGCAGCAGCAGCAACCTGTATCTGCATGAGGAACATAAGCAGCAGCAGCAGTAGCTTCAGCAGTTGGAGCATTTGCTGCTGCAGCAGCAGCAGGATTTGCTGCAAATAAGCAGTATGTACTACTACAGCAGCCACTGCAACAGCAGGCTTAGCAGCAGCAGCAGCAGCAGCAGGCTTGGCAGCAGCAGCAGCAGCAGCAAGCATGGCTGCAGCAGCAGCAACGTTCGCTGCTGTTGCACGCCAAATGAACATACGAACAGCAGACAGCAACAGCTGCTGCTGCAGCAGCAGCAGCAGCTTTGCTGCATTTTAGGGTTTGTTTGTTTTAGCCGTTGCCCATTTGCTGCAGCAGCAGCAGCTGCTGCACTGCAGCAAGAATACCTGCCATACCAGCACGCAGCGTAGCAGAGCAGCCACGCGGAGATAGCAGCAGCAGCAGCAGAAGCACTTGCTGCAGCAGCATGCATGCACAGTAACTACATTCGCTTGAACTAGTACAGTGTAGTCTAATAGCAGCAAAAGTAGCGCCACCAACAACTGCAGCAACAGCAACAACAGCAGCAGCTGCTGCAGCGGCTACAGCAGCAGCAACTGCAGCAAAAGGAAGAATAAAGCAGATTGTTTGCTGCGGTAATAAGACAGAGAGATACACACATCTCTGCTGCATGCCCTGCTGCTGCAGCTGCTTTAGCTGCTGCACCTCGGCTGCATGTGCTGCTGCAGCTACTGCTGCTGCTGCTGCTGCTGCAACTGCAACTGCTGCTGCAGGCACTTAGGTGGAGTCGTGAGCCTCTCTTAGAGCCTTCCTATCCTACAAGCACAGCAGCAGCTGCTGCAGCAACAAGACTATTAAATAGCAGCAGCAGCAGCAACAGCAGCAGCATGATTAGCAGCGGCAGAAGCTGCAGAATTCCTGCTATCAGCAGCAAGCATAGCAACCGCAGCACCAAGGACACCAGCAGCAGAAACAACAACAGGAGGAGCAGCAGGAGCAGCAGCAGACTTACTGGATATTTTATACCTAGGAAGTATGCAACAAGGAATAGATCCCTTTTATTGAGGTGTATATACACCTCAGCCTTTACCTTCTCTTTTGCACAGAAAGCAATTCCTGTTGCTGCTGCATGCAGCATTAATATGTCATTGCTGCCATCACCTACTGCTGCTGCATTTAAACCTTCTGCTGCTGCTGCTGCAGCAGCAGCAGCTGCTGCAGCGGCTGCTGCTGCGAAGGGAGAGTTCATAGCCTCTGCTGCACTGCATGGCTTTACATATGGGGCTTCCGTTGTTGCCATTTGCTGCTGCTGCTGCTGCTGCTGCTGCTGCGGGTCTTGCTGTTGCTGTTGCTGCTGCTGCTTGTCTTCTTGGTGGCACTGCAGCAGCAGCTTCTGCTGCTGCTGCACCGCCAGCTGCTTGAGTGTTGCTGCCTTTAGCTGAGGAGTCATGATAGGTTCTGCTGCTTCTCCTGTGAGGGTACCTGCATGCATGGAGCAGCAAAGTGTGAATCCGCTGCTGCTGGTGCTGTTGCTTTCGCTGCAGCAGTGCTACTGCTGCTGCTGCTGCTGCTGCTGCAGTGAGTTCCTACCTTGTTCATCAAATAGTAATGTATTAGCAGCAGCAAAATGTATAAATAATTTTTTTTGTATAAAAGAAGAAAAAAGAGTAAATCCTCCGCTTAATAAGGAGAGAAAAAAACCACAAAAATTCAATAAAATACATAAATCTTCTCCTCCTTCTGTTATATTAATACGAGGATACACAGACTGTAATGCAGACCTGCAGCAGCAGCAGCAGCAGCAGCAGCTACAGCAACAGTAGTAATAGGAGGAGGAGGAGGAGGAGGAGCAGCAGCAGCAGCAGCAGCAGCAGCAACTGGGGATGTGGGGATTCAGAAAGTGCAGCTACAGCTGACAGCGACAATACCAGCAGCAACAAGAACAGCTGTTGCTGCTGCTGCTGCAGCAGCAGCAGCAGCAGCAACAGCAGCAGCAGCAGCAGTATTTACCTATCCAACCCTTTTAATAATTGAAGACGGAGAGCTAAACTCTCAGCAAATGGCAAATTTCCTCCCATTGCCTCGGCAGTTATTGCTGCTACTTCTTCTTCTTTACCTATATATATAAACCCTAAACCCTAAACCCTAAACCCTAAACCCTAATGGTCACAATATGAGGGGAGCAAAAAAAAGAGTTCAGGCTCTGTGGCTTGATGCTCCAGGGTTTAGGGTTTAGGGTTTAGGATATTGGTTAGGTCTGTTATTGCTTTCGCCTGTCTGTTCTAGGGTTTAGGGTTTAGGGTTTAGGGTTTAGGGTTTAAGGGTTTAGGGTTTAGCGACCTATCTGGGCGGCGAGTTCATCAATGACTTCCTCTTCTATCAATGTTGAATCCTGACATAGCAGCAGCAGCAGCAGCAGCAGCAGCAGCGTGAGGGCAACAATTTGCTGCTGTTGCTGTTGCTGCAATTGCTGCTGCTGCTGCTGTAAGCAGCAGCAGCAGCAATTGCAGCAGCGCCACCTCCAAGTGCACACAGCTCAAACTGATGCATCGGCAGCAGCAGCCTGGCACCAACGTATGTAGCAGCAGCAGCAACAGCAGCAGCAGCAGCAGCAACAGCAGCAGCAGCAGCAGCAGCAGACTTACCATATCGAAGCAAACTAACTGAAGACACAACGAAGCCAAATTTCTCTTGCGCAGCATAAAATCCCCTCCAGCCTCTGACAGCAGCAGCAGCAGCAGGAGCAGCAGCAGGAGCAGCAGCAGGAGCAGCAGCAGGAGCAGCAGAAATCAACACAGAGGCAGATCCTGTTGTAGAAGCAGCAGCAGCAGCAGCAACAGCAACACAAGCAGTAATAGGAGCAGCAGCAGTGTTTGGCTCACCTGCTGCTACCTGCTGCAGATTGCATGCAAGAGCAGCAGCAGCAGATGCGCTAGGCAGCAGCAGCACGAAGCGCACTGCAACAAATTCCCCTAACGGAGACTCGCGCTGCCCCTCTGCAGCAGCAGCAGCAGCAGCAAAAGCAGCAGATACACACGACAGCACCAATTAGTAACAGCAGCAACAGCTGCAGCAGCAGTAAAAGCAGCAGCTGCAGCACTAGCAGCAGCAGCAGACAGCAGCAGAAGTTTTCTTATTTTTATTTACCCTTAAACAAACCTCCTGCTCCTTCTGCTGCTGCTGCTGCTGCAGCAAGAAACTGCGGAGCAAGCTGAGGTTGCTGCACAAGCAAGAGCTCGTAGTCGATGCTGCTGCTGCTGCTGTTGCTGCTGCTGCTGCAGTTATCTTCTTTTGCTGCTCCATCTGCTGTTGCTGCTGCTGCTGCTGCTGCTGCTGCTGCCTCCTCCCGTGAGCCTGCGGGCTCCCTGAAATTGCATGCAGAGCCAAACCCTAAACCCTAAACCCTAAACCCTGAACTCCATATCCCAAACCCTAAAC